ATTGGATGTATATTTATTTAAAGTTTAATTTCTCATTCGAGTATGTATATATGTAAGGTGTAAAAGAAATGGTGGTGTGGTTAATGGAAAACATAAATGAAATTTATAACACAAGCCTTATAGTGCTTACTTTGGGGCTAGGCTAATTGGTGTGAGTGTTGGAAATATTTATTTATTTATTTATTCATTGGGGACATCTTACAGAATAATTTTATGTTATACACCCAGGGCAACTTATTTGTGTCAATCTGGGTTTGTTTGATCTCACGGCTTACCTACTATGTAGTATACACTTAACTTGAATTTCTCAGAATCACGGGTTTTTTTCGTTAAAAAAGTGCTTTCCATAATAACCAACATCTCAACTTTAGGTAAATATTCATCTGATTATCCGATCTCTATTCATTAAACACAAGCTTTTAAGTGACTTTTTTTTAATTATAATATTTTATATATGAAATCAATTATTTACTATTCATTATTAAACTATCGATAGTAGATTAATCGATAATTTCCCAGCACCGAAATTGGCCTATTCATTTTTGACTTAATAAAAAAAGGAACTGCCTTACAAGAAATTCAGTAGAGAGTTTTTGGAGCTCAATAATGTAATTAACTAAGGTACTGTCGGGCACAAAAGTGCCGTCTTTACGTGTCTCGTATTTCAATGAACGCCCGACGACGAAGCAAAGTGATTTCAATGCTGATTGCTGCAAACGTAGCTGATTCAATGACAGAACAGATCATGTTGATGAAGGAAGGTTATACTTTATTTAAACACAATTATAGTACAAAGTTAGAGACCTACCAATATTTGAAGAAAAAAAATATTAAAGAAAAATGTGTGGTTTTGTGAAATCACGATGCAAGTGAAACAGTTTTAACAATCATTAATAAAAGTCCTTCCACGTCTGGGAATCGAACCCACGCTGCTCGCGTAGCAGGTGAGCTTTCTACTACTAAATTGGATCGATGGGACTTCTTCATAGGACCTAGTTTTTTTTAATAATAATTAAAATGCAATTATCATCATCATCAGCCTATTAATGTCTCCACTGCAGGGGCACAGGACTTCCCTATGGATGGAATAGGGAGATTGGGCCATGACCCACCACGCGGGCCCAGTGCGGATTGGTGGGTGCTAATGACTGCAGATGCAACCGGGACCAACGGCTTAACGTGTCTTCCGAAGCACGGAGGAGCTGGAGATAGTAAATTTTTTTGGTCACCCATCCAATGACCGACCACTTGGAAAGTTGCTTCACTTCAACGATCGCAGCCGAACGCGCTAACCAGTTGCGCCATTGAACTCCTCAAAATGTAATGCGACTCGCTAAAGATGAAGGAAAAATTTGTAGCGAAGTAATAACAGTTTCATTTCAAAACGCTGGTAGCATCGTATTCAAGTGCATCCGCCCGGACAGCAGAAGATGCAGGATCTAAACTTAACTGATACCTTGACCGAGTTGATTTTTTTCTAGAGAAAATGTTTTTTAGATTTATGAAAAGAGCATATTAATTCTTAGGATAAAAAGCAATTTCATCCGACCACAGGGCTAGCTGAAATGAACATTGAGGGAACCCTCATACCTTCTTCTCGCTCCTCCAGTGGTTGAACGATGCGTTAGGCATTACCCGAACAAAAAAAAGGATAAAATGCAATAAACTCTATTTGATAAGACTCTTTACAAATAAACATGTTAAATGGGTGGTAATTTAGTGATAGATTGTTAGCCATCTGTTGATTGGAATTTGAACCTTATTACAACTGGACACTTAATTGAAGAACCAGAAAGATGTTTTCATCCAAAGAATTCAAAACTTTATTTAAATTACATGTTGCGTGAACGTGACCGATATGCATAAAAAGATAGTTATGTCAAAAAAGAAATATCAACATCTCAATCATGTAACAAAAAAAATCAAACGTCGAGATTAAGAGTCCACTTGATCAAGTGGCATTTAATTTTTATTTTATTTAGTTCCCAAATTTATTTACATATATTATAACTTAACATAACCTTGATCCCTGACTGGTCATTGTCCCCTGAACAAACACCTATATACAATGGGGGTTACAGACAGCCCCCTATGCAGAGGATGCATGGAGGCAGAAGAAACGCCACAGCATGTCATCATGGAATGCAGGAGTGTGGCCGACCAATGGGCACGACTTCTCCAGTCACCAGAATCGTTTCCGGAGGCTTGCAGCAGTCTATCAAGGCTGCTTTACTTCTGGACCGATATAGGCTGGCTGGAGTAAGCGGGAATGTTTTTGAGATACGCACAATGGTCCAATAATTAGGACTAAGTGCGGAAACCGCCCTGAAAAACTTAACTAAACTAAACTTAACATAACGGCGAACAAAAACCACGCAAGGTTTGTCCGTCGCCGTGTTCACTAGTTAACAACTGGTGGCATGATGGTGTGTGGCCACAATAAATGTTATCGTGCTCACACACCATCATGCCGCTTGATCAAGTGTCTTGATTAAACTGACTTGATCCAAAATCCTTACGTCAAGTGGCATGTCCTTCTAAAATATCTTCCCACACACGGTCAGTTTGACTTGATTAAGCCTATTTGATCAAGCCACTTCATCAAGGCGGCAGGCAAGATTTTGAGTGGACTACCATTTTGTAAGATTACGCTTAAAAAAGTAGCAGTAATATTTCCTATATTATACCCCGTTAAAAAAAATGTTTTATTTTAGATATGTATTTAAAAAAAATATTATACATCATACTTTTGTTCTCGACTGTTATTGCGCTCCAATTTTTTTTGCTATACCAATTTAGGCTTTATTGTTTTATGGTTGGTATGAATTAATCATATTATATTCGTAAACATAAATCTTAAAAGATTAAATTATTTTTTAAATTTAAAAATCATTGTGGTTAATATTTGTAAATAGTAGATTAGGGACCCGGTTTGTGCTAGTATGCCATTTTTTTTTTAATTTTAGATCAACTCGAAGCTTGGGCTGTTTTACTGAAGAGTAGAAATAAAGAATAACCGTGTATGAGGGTTTTTCAAAAAAATTCCCCCTAGAGGGTAAAAAGGGGATGATAGTTTGTGTGAAAAATCTTATTCTTGAACTAGTGGTCCGCCCTCACTTCGCTTCGGTGTAGAGCTGAAGTGTAGACTATAGTTATTGTTCTCAGGCCTGTATTATACACAATGACATTCTTCTTATACCTACCGCCGCCGCGACCAGTGTCGAGCGCGGCAACCGTTACACAAAAATAATCCTTATAGCATGATTCAGTATTCACGTGCGACGGCGCAATGGCTTATTTCATGTATAAGTTTGGTGTTTCTATACCGATTTCTATGATTCTTTTTTTTATTGAATAGGTAATAATGTTAACTTTTTTAAATTAGGGATGAGTGAGAGTATAATAAACGTAAGAGTAAACAAATATAATCAGAATACTCCGAACTGCTAAGCTATCAGGAGTTACACGTGTTATTGTGAGTCAACCATAAAAGATAGACATATGCTGTTGCGGGATATTTTTTAGACAATTCTATGTAAAATATTTCCGTGATACATGATTTCTATGTAACTTTAACCATTAAGGCTGCACACGCAACGGAAGCTAAAAAAATGGAGTAACTTCTCCCGTTTTCCCAACATTTCCCTTCACTACTCTGCTCCTATTGACTGTAGCGTGATGAAAAGTATACTATAACCTGCCCAGGAGTATGAAGAATAATTGTACCAAGTTTTGTTCAAATCCGTCGAGTAGTTTTTGTTTCTACAAGGAACATACACACAGACAGACAGACAGACAGACAGACAAAATTTTTACTGATTGCATTTTTGGCATCAGTATCGATCACTAATCACCCCCTGATAGTTATTTTGAAAATATATTTCATGTACAGAATTGACCTCTCTACAGATTTATTATAAGTAATAGATAATAGATTAATTGACTTAGGACTTGACTCAAATGAAAACAGTACACAGACTGATAAAAATTAGATTTGTTAATAAATAAACTAAACTAATCACTAATTCCACGCTTTCTATAACTTAAGAGTTTGAGAATCCCACAGGTACTGTAACGTCCATTACGTTACAGCCTCCTTGTTTGGGTAAACTCTTTGTTCATGTAATGCCTACGGCTGGCAGTTATATTAAAAAGGTAATGTCATGATTTTTAAAGATTTGAAATTGGGAATCTTCTGTCGTTTGATAGAAGGTTCCAGCAGATAGAAATCATCAGCACCACAACATACGGTTACATATTAAGATACAATTATTATATTCGTCTTGATGTCTAATAAAATAAAAGATTCACGTGGACCAGGCAGCAGACGGGAATCGAATCCGCACCCTTCGCAATCCGGGCGAATGCACATTGCGCATTGCGGAACACGCCCGGATTGCGAAGGGTGCGGGGTCGAGTCCCGTCTGCTGCCTGGTCCGCGTGGATTTTTTTCTAGTTATATTTTCTTTAGATTTAAAAATCAAGCAGTTACATGCTTTAAAAAAATAAAAATTATTAATAAAAGATTATTAAGACTTATTAGTTGTTTTTCATCTGATAAAGTTATGCTTCCAGGGCCTATCCAATCAGGGAAAATTTTTCGCTATAAAAATACTTTTATCATTTATCTCAATTCAAGTCATAAACTACATGCATGCCAAATTTCATCAAATCCGTTCAGGAGTTTTTAAGTCATAGATCATACACAACTCTCACATTTATAATTATTACTAAGATTTTTTAAATTTTGATACAAGCTATGTTTTTATTTTTTTAAGCATTTAACTGCTAGATGTTTAAATCTAAAGAATTGGGTTACCTGCAATGCGAAGAGATGGCGCTGCCTTGCAGCTTAATTGGTCAGTGCATTTGCCCGGATCGCGAAGGGTGCAGGTTCGAGTCCCGTCCACTGCCTGGTCGGCGTGGATTTTTTTCTAGTAATACTTTTCTTTTGATACAAGATTTTACTTCATTGTTTTACAGTCTTACGTTTGTTTCAGGAGATTACTCGTTAGACATAAGGGACGTGGCTCTGGAAGATGACGCCAGGTACCAGTGCCAAGTCAGCTCCGGCTTGAACGGTAAGTGAATCGCAAACTCCCAGACCAAAAAAAAACTTTGTAGTTTTTTTTTTCGAACGAAATCTTTATTATTTATTTTATTTATTTATTTAATAGGTGTACTCACAGCTAAACAAATAAAAATATTAAAAAATTAAAATTAAACTTGTTCTAAGACATATATGCAAGCCTTTACAAGCACACACAACATACAATTGAGTAAAGTACAATGTAATTAATATATAATCAATAGTAATAAATGGAATCAATAATCAATAAAAATAGTGCAATTAATTATCAATGTTTGATTTAAAATTAATAATGTATGTCAAATTAATGCAAAAAATAATAATGTAATTGGTAATGTCAAACTGATACAAAAAAAATCTTCTTGTAAAGATATGGTTAGGTACAATACAAAGTACCTACAAAAAACATCATTTCATTCAAAAGTCGAATCAAATCAAATACATATTTAATTTATAATAACCCTAAAGACACGCATAGATTTTGATGCAGTTGTCACCTTAAGTAACAAAATTCATGTATAATGGTAATGCAATAGGAAGAAACATTGGAATAAGACATTAAAAATAAATTAGGTATTCTTGTTCTTTTTCCCCGTGGTCGGAATAGGGACAACAGGCTATGACCCATCACGCGGGCCCAGTGCGGATTGGTGAGTGCTGACGACCATCTGACGACTTAGGAACAGCCGAGACCAACGGCTTAACGTGCTTCCGAAGCATGGATGAGCTCGAGGTAATAACTTTTTGGTCACCCATCCAATGACCGACCACTGCTAAAGTTGCTTAACTTCCACGATCGAACTTCGATCGAACGCGGTAACTTACACCATTTCGCTCCTCTAGAAACATTTACATTTATTTCCATCCTCGAGGATTCGCAATGGTCGGTCATAGGATGGGTGACCAAAAACTTATCCGTTCCATCGGAAGGTACGTTAAGCCGTTGGTCCCGGCTGCATCTGTTGACGTTAGCAGCAACGTCGCGGCTCAGTCGCCCTATTCCATTCATGGGGAGGGTGTGTGCCCCAGCAGTGGGGACATTAAGAGGCTGATGATGATGATGATGATTAATCTTGTCATCAGGTGAACCCGCCATCCGCTCCCGCTACGCTCAGCTGACAGTGCTCGTGGCACCGGAGCCCCCTCGGATAATACAAGGGGCTTTCATAGACGCCACTGAAGATCAGCCGATTGATATAGAATGCGTATCTTCAGGAGGAAAACCGGCTAGTGAGGTAAGAGATATATAGTACGATTCAAAAAGAATAGGAAAGCCAATGATTTCCATCTGTCAAATGTCGCTTGAAAAGTACAGTTTGCAAAAAAATCTTGGATCCCTTTTTTAGCACTCAGCTAATTCTAGAATAAAAACCAAGCATTTGTAAACAAACAATAACAAATATTGATAATTCTTATTGGTTAATATTTTTTTTTTTCATATATTGAGCTTTGGCTATGAATGGTTGATAACCTAAATCGTCAACCAAATGTAACTTTAAGTTGCGTTCAGAGACTCGATTTAAAACTTTCGTTTACATAAAGGATCCATGTTCGTATGTAATCTATACTAGTAATAGTGCATGATTATTCATAACTACTCCGGCGGTAATACAGAGATGAGCGGAATGAAGAGCTAGATTCTGGTTAATGATTTTTCTCTCGCAGTCTTAATAAATAAATATTAATAAAAATTGGTTGTTTTCTTTTCTCAATCAAAGTAAATAAATTTTATTAAAAAAATCAGATGCTTTTTCTCACTTAATCTTAGCAAATAATTATAATAAATAGAAACTTTTTCTGCTCACTCTACCTATTTGGATGGAATTGACAGCTATGATGTCACAATATGGCGCCCTGTCGATGTCGGTCCTATACTTAGTTGAATCACATTATGCCATCTATGTTTGAATAAGCATTTTTTAACAAAACCAATATTCATTTATTCAGTTTAGGCTGTTAAAAACATTTATGAATGTCTAGATGCTACGCCGTCGATTCGTAAATCTACGGCGGGAGACCGTGTACTGAGAAGAACCGGCAAGAAACTCAGCAAGGGCTGCTTTTTCTCCCTGTTTTATTATTTACAGAGTCGTCAAGTTGAAAAATGACTTCAGACATGATTCATGAAGTCACTTTCCATTCAATAATGTGTTGCAATTCGAGTGGAAATCCACTACGCCTTACCTCACGTAAATATAAGGTATTGACTTTTTTATTATTGTTTCAGATAACCTGGGTAGATGGTAACCAAGCTGTGATAAAAAACAAAGATAAGAAGAAGATAGAAATTATGTCTGACGGCCAGAGGTTTCAAACGAGGTAAGAAATATATCATTCATGACAAACACATACATCATTAAACAGCTTCCTCAAAACAGCTTTTTAGCATTTTTTTTTCATTTCTAAGAACGTACGTACACATTAAAAGGTCCATAAGAAGGACTAAGAAGATTTTTGTAATAATAATAATCTTTAAGTTAAGGCCCTGTTTCCACAATTAATGAGTTAAATTCTAAGTAAGCTACTTCGAACATAAACATGACTACCCTATACTGTTGCGTTATAAAGTATCACAAAGCACCACAATAGGGTATTTGACAAGTTTTAGAAAACGATCTCACGTTATTCACTAATATTTATAGAGTGCATAAAAAGTGGATATTCATCATTATATTGTGTATTTCGGTAAAAAAACTAATTCAAATACTCTATTTTTAAGTTGCCGCGAAAAACGTATCTCTGGACAATATGGCGTCTCACTGGTGTGTGACGTCACACGCCTGTCATTAAAACGTCAAACCATACAATCAAATGTCACTTTAACCGGAAGTTTACTTGCGTGTGACGTCATTTTAGGCTCCACCAATCCAAAGCGTTTTGGGTCACGTGATAATAGACAAGAAAACTATTATCTTTTATTTTGTGGGTTTTTAGTAAAATTATGAATATTTTTTCTGTAAAAATAGTAAAAACTCCTACCAATATTCATTCTTAATACAGATTCTAACAATTGCCACTTTATTTTTAATACTGTCAAATACCCTATTTATAATTTTAATGTAAATTACATATATACGTTTTCATTGCGTCTAATTATCAAACTCCGTATGAAATAAAGTTATACTAGTATTTAACAGAAGTAGCAATATTTACAAAAAGAAAAGAAAAGTCGCTTCCAACACAACGTTTACTCACATTTTGATTGCTGTGTCATACAGTATAAATATTATACATACAAAATTCAAATAGTAATCTGACAATTTAGCGTGATAAAACCGCGTTATATATCATAAAAATCATCATCATCAATCAATCAATCATCGTCAATCAATCATCAATCAATCAATCAATCAATAATATTATAAAGGCGAAAGTTTGTGAGTGTTGAGTGTGTATGTTTGTTACTTCTTCACGTCTAAACGGCTGGAGCGATTTTAATAAAATTTGGTATGGAGTTAGCTGACCCTAGAATCTAGGGCCTAGATTAACACATAAGCTAATTTTATCCCGAAAAAATGTTAGGTTCCAGAAGGATTTACAAGAAACTAAGTTAACGCAGACGAAGTCGCGGGCGACATCTAGTATATCATATCGCGGTGCTCATGCTAATTGTAACTCATGCACAGATAAATGACAAGTACCATTGTCAACAGATCAGTGTTGAGGTTAACACCCAGCAAGGAAAACCACAACCGAACTATCACTTGTCAGGCGCAGAACACTGCAGACAGGGCTTACAGGATGGCCACAGTTCATATTGAGGTTAGTGTCATATCATCAGTAATTGAAGAGCTGGCCAACAGAACGGTATAATTAAACTAGTGAAAACCAGTGAACCAAATGTTCACCAAAAAAAAAAACACACATGTATTTAATTAATTGAGAACTTCGGAGATTTTGTGTGGTTTGGTTTGAAATAGAAATCACGTGATTTCTCGAAAACCGGAAGTGCTACGTTACTCAAATCCGGTTTGTAGTCTTATCAGACTATTCTTAACTTATAACTTAAACATTCTCTTTATCTATCTCTTACGGTTTGGCCGCTGAAACAGCACCACGGACGGACGGACGGACGGACTTGTCTAATAGATAAGAGATTTTGCAAGAGCTGTATAAAACTGAATGACATACCTACAGTGAGCTTTGGCAAGGGTTTTAAATTTATAAATTTAGTAATTTGCACACTGATTTAGGTGGTTTCGTTTTGATTGAAAATTATTGAGATTCAAATTCAATGGGCCCGAAAACTGTGGACTTTTAAAAAAAAGTATTTTGACCAGTACCCTTAGTACGAGTTTTTCAATTTCGAAAACTATGATAGTTTTCGTGAGCTCGCTACGTGCTAAGGATACTGATTTTATTGTTTTCGTTACAATACAAATAAACAATGTTTAAACTCTATCATTAAATCATTTGCGTCTTCATAAATTTAAAGTATATTTGATTACTTTTCACCAAAATGGACATAGAAACATAATTTACAATTCGATAACTATGATAGTTTTCGTGAGCTCAAACTCGTTCTAAGGGTACTGATGTGTAATAATACCGTTTTGTTCGCCAGCTCCTCAATTATAAGTTAATGAAACAAGCTGTGAAACCTTTAGGTTAATAAAAAACAAATATCGTAAACCTATTTTTCGACACCGTTACTTTGAAATTTGTATGCTGTTCAACCGATTTTAGTTTCATAATAAGCTTATTACCAACTTCAAGCAACCTGTTGCGTCAATTAAGTACGATTCGATATTCAAAAGTTAGGGTTTGATTTTGGAAAAAGAAATAGCAACAAAATAGAGAGATTTAGAAAAGAAAAAAGTCGTAAGACTCAACTTAGCCAATCGTTTTTATGAATAAAAGAACAGCACTTGCCGGGTCCTAAGAAGGACCTTGGAGCACTCCGATTCGAACTACGCATCTTTTATATATATATATATATATATATATATATATATATATATATATATATATATATATATATATAACCAGGTAGGCAAATGACTCTACACGACCTGATGTTAAGTGGTGATAAAGTGCAAACGTGAAGATAACTGGTACAACAGTTATAAACTGCCATACCAACCATCCTCACCTTGCTGGCCTTGAAAAAATGCTTCTTCACGCCTCTCTTAAAGGACCCCAGATTGTAGGAAGGAGGGAACACGTGCGCGGGTAAAGAATCCCACTTACGAATAGTACGACAAAGAAATGAGTCACCAAATTTCTTTTTTCGTGTAGTGGCCACAGGAAGTCGGTGGAAACGTAGGCCAGCGCGCGTGCTCTTCTGAAGAAAAGGTGATGGAGGGATAAGGGAGAATAACTCCTCAGACCACTCGCCGTGGTATAATTGGTAGAATGGGAATTATGATGCCATAATTTGAAGCAGTTTTCTAAAATAGTTGGTCCTCGGAAGAATAAGTCTAATATTCTTTTTAATCATCTTAATTATTTAAAAACATATTTACGCAGGTCAAATACCCACCGAAGGTGTCAGTAGAAATCAAGTCAGGCTTAGAGCAAGGCAAGATCAGAGAAGGCAGCGAAGCGAGGTTCCTTTGTAAAGTGGACGCTAACCCCCCACCCTTGAAGTACATCTGGTACATCAACAACGATCTGGTGATTGGAGACTACTCCGAAGAAATGGTGAGTTGATATTTGGAACATACCTGATTTATGTAAGTGCAATAAGTGCAGTAATGCCCGCAGTTACGCCTGGAGGGCGAGGGGTAGATTGGGGAGTGGTTTTACCTGGTAGGTAGGCTGGCTAGCCGCTCGGACTGCGGTCCGTGAGACTGGTCAGGTGACGCTGTGAACGGAGAAGCCCAGGATCAGTTAAAGCGCGGACCGGGCGCTGGTCGGAGGCGGGGTGGTTTGACGTATGCCAAGCTTGCGGGAGTGCACGTCAAAGTATACCCGCATTGACTAGCAGCCCTCGGGCTGCTCGCCGCTTGCCGAATGCACCACGCAATTACCTGCGTCACGAGAGTTTGTTGACAGCAAACTAACGCGGTGTTGGTCATTGTCCTGGATATAACTTAGATTAAAACAGAAAGGGTAGATACGGTACGCTCATACTTGCATCTAACAAAAACTGATCCCACGGCCGCGCGAATGGGACGGCGAGATCCGCGTCACTGCATTACCCACCAATCACGCAACCAGTACTCGACGTCACTATCGAATAAGATTCAAAACAAACAACAATTTTTATGAAAAAATATATTTTATGGTACTTACGAATGAAAAGTGATGCCGTGGGTATTATTTTTAGTTCTTGAGCAATTTTAGCACTTTTTAAAAACACACTTAGGGATTGTTTTATCATATAAACACAAAATATTATCAATATTTCTTTTTGGCGTTCACATGTACTTCGTTTGCATGTCAAGTTGTGACTAAAGTGATTAGGGTCGTGGACCACAATTGGTGCGGATCACTTTTGTGAGGCTAGTGCCATATCTACCCTTTTTGTTTTAATCTAAGGGATATAATGCATTGCAATGCAATAATCAGGTGGATCCCACTGGATGCGGAAAGCTCAGGATCGTTGTGTTTGGAGATCCCTAGAGGAGGCTTATGTCCAGCAGTTGACCTCCATCGGGTGATTGTGATGATGATGAATCTAATGGCACTCAATGTAACGCAACACAATACAATAGGACACCACAACACGATAAAACACAATAGACTACAACACGACAAAAAAATCAGAATAGATCACAATATAACACATCATCATCATCATCAGCCTATTAATGTCCCCACTGCTGGGGCACAGGCCTTCCCTATGGATGGAATTGGGAGATTGGGCCATGACCCACCACGCGGGCCCAGTGCGGATTGGTGGGTGCTAACGACTGCAGATGCAGCCGGGATCAACGCCTTAACGTGCCTTCCGAAGCACGGAAGAGCTCGAGATAGTAATTTTTGATCATCCATCCAATGACCGACCACTGAGAAAGTTGCTTAAGTTCAACGATCGCAGCCGAACGCGCTAACCACTTGCGCCGTCGAGCTCCTCACTCGCGCCACAGTCATGTGTGAGCAAATGCTCATAACTTGACCAAAACTTGGTTCTGATTGCGTCGTTGCTCTCGGGTGTGAACGCTGATTGGTTTGATTGTTGATTTGATCTATTAGGTGGAAGAGTAGTGGGGGTGTGCCGGCGACATCAGTTCCCATACAAACGGTCTATAATCACCCTTCTGTCAGTGTTGTGTGTATGAAACCCTTTATTGCACCCTATAGCCAATATAAAATTTTAAGACGTTTCTGAGCGGAAATGAAGGAAAGTTTGTTTGGATACCTAACATCAATGTTTTTGACCATATTGATATTATCTTAAATAGTAATTAAAATTGATTTGTAGGTTATGGCATGCCGTAACCACAAACCACAATTTCAATTACAACTCTCATCCGAGATGAAATTCCAACAACCGCAACAACAGAACTGAAAAACTCAAAGTTCTTCAATTCGCAATCGACTCCGGTTTGCAGCGAATACCTATTTTTAACTGCATAATAATAAATATTGAAAAATCCGAGGCAGAGCTTATTAAAAAAGAAAGAACTGCAACAAACCTCACAATGCGAACTCGGATTAAGCACAAAAATAACGTTTTCGTTGGTGCAGCGGCACAACAATCCGTCTTGCCGTACCTCTCGAATAAAAGCTCCATAATATATTACTGTGGGTTAAGTATGCTTGTTGCAGGTACATAATATGTGAATTTTTCAGTGAGCGTATCGCATGCACGGCTGAAGCGCGGGCCACGAGGTTAGCGTTAAAAGCGTCTGTCCTCTAGCAAACACCATTATCGAATTCGAATAGTTTGCGAGTCCGAAATAAATAAATATTTCCGACACTCACACCAATTAGCCTAGCCCCAAAGTAAGCACTATAAGGCTTGTGTTATGGGATGCTAGGGTAACGGATAGAATACATATACTGTACATATATAAGTATATTTATATAAATACATATTAAACATCCATGACTGGAGTACAAATGCTCGTATTCATCACACAAACATCTACCCCCACCGGGATTCGAACCCGGGACCTCTCGAGTCGGCGACAGCCATGAAACCCGGCGTACAAACCACTCGGCCACGGATGTCGTCAAATGTCTTTGTCAAATATGTAGAACAATAAATATAATAATAAAATAGGTAGAACTGCTGTATCACCTATCTTCGCGCCTGGACTTCACCTTCACTTAACAGCAGGAATCTCTGTTTCCAGTCACCTATAATCTGGGGCTCTTCAAGTCGCGAGTCAATCGGTTTCTTCTAGGCAAGCGCGCCCCAGGCTGCTACGTCGCTTTTCATCAGTCGCGTGGCCGTCAAGCGTAAGCCTATTTAATGTAAAAAAAAAGCAGGTGGGGTGTACTCATTTGTCGAACCTATCTATAAAAAAAAATGTACTGATTTTAAGTTCTCGTTACGTCCGTTTTAGCGCTGCTGTTTCAAGTTTCCATACAAAATTTGACAATGACATTTCGGACGTGCAAACTATTAGAATTCGATAATGGTTCGTGCTAAGGTTACCTTACCCTTAGCACGAATCAATATCGAATTCGTAACGTTTGCGAGTCCGAAATGTTATTATGTAATAATTTTTAGTTCTCGTTACGTCCGTTATGACGCTAATGTTCAAGTTTTCATACAAAATTTGACAATGACATTTCGGACTTGCAAACTATTCGAATAAGATAATGGTTATGCTAAGGGTACTGTACAGTACTCTCAATGATTAACGATATAACGTGATGCGTAATGAGGAGCTTGATTGCGCAGGTGGTTAGTGCGTTTGACCTGCGATCGTGGCAGTAAAGCGACTTTCGCAATGTTCGGTCATTGGATGGGTGATCAAAGCCTTTCTTGAGCTCCTCCGTACTTTAGAAGACACGTTAAGTCGTTGGCTCCGGCTGCATCTGTAGTCGTTAGCACCCACCAATCCGCATAGGCCCGCGTAGTGGTTCACGGCCCTATCTACATATGGTTGGTAGCATACAATATTGGACGATTCAAAAGACCTTTTAATAGGTCCAAAATTTTGTAGGAAAGCCAAAGGGGCAGATCTTCCACCGAGCTGGATGATAGTAGCTCGGGGGCCGCGGCCCGACTGTTTTTTTAGTGTATATGCTGTTGATCGCAGATGACCTTTACAGCGTCACCGAGTTTTGGGATGGCGAGATCCTAAGTGGACCTCAAGCCGAGAATTGGCGAGTCGTGTAAATAAACAGTGCGAACACTAAACGTTCTGCACCATCATACAACAAAATATAAAATGTCTGGAAATAGCATATCATCATCATCATCTCAGCCGTGCCACGCCCACTGCTCCCCCAAGGATCTCCACATCGATCGGTCCTGTGCTACGCGAATCCATCGGCTTCCCGCGATCTTCAACAGATCATCGGTCCATCTGTTAGGGGCCTTCCCACATATACGCGATGGCAAAAATGGCATATACTGTAACCCTTAAAATTGCATCTTTACTATAAAGTTAAATTATGTCCAAAAGACCAGAAAAAAAATATTATCAACAAGGCCGTATGGTCTTTGTTGCCTTTGCCTACCCAAAAGGGGAAAATATAAAAACAATATTTGTCGGACGGAGCAGCGGCGCACGAGCGGCGTAACCGCGAGTCGGCATTAATTTTCACTAATAAGATTTTACATTTTTAATCGATCAACGCGTGATCAACGAAATTCTCTTACTTTGTAAATTTACAATACGCGATGGCATAAATGGCATATAGCCGAAACTAATTCCGATCCGCTCCTTCTGTGGCCCGCACTAGCATACGGTGAATGCGCACAACCTACTTCACGTTTATCGCTGCACTTTGATTTAACGAACCGCCTCGCGCAGATATAATTATTTGTTGCAGCGATAACTTTCAATTCGATACATTCACATGTTTGGTTGACTGTTCCTCTGTGCTTGTTTTAATTAACTTTATTATTGTTGTTCTGCCGTGCTATACTGTAAGGATGCACTGAAATGTGAGATCCGGAAACCATGCCTGATTTAAAAATTGAATACAAAAAAATAAGCTGCGTGAAAATGAGTTTCTTCTTACAGAATAAGGGTGATGACGGGGTACAGTAAACGAAGTTCTATTTAGTCCGTCAGTTAGATGATCAAAAAATAATGGACACGTTTTTTTTCTTTGGCCAATCAACCAAAAAATGACAAAGTTATAGCGTGTCAAAGTTTGGGAGTAGGGGCTCGTGACGTCACTTTTGAGTGAATTTTCACTTATAAGTGTACTCAAACGTGACGTCATGCGACTTTTCAAATCAGTATATCTTTGCAATGTTTATATTATGTGAAAAAAGAAAAAATACGTGTCCAATACTTTTTGATAATCTACCTGATAAACGAAGAAAAAAAAAATAGTCATCATCCCTATTGCAGGGATGTAATCCGTGGTACGGTTAAAGTTTATTAACGGTCAGGCTAATATTGAACACTGAATACTATACTGAATATTATGAACTGAAAAACAATACTGATAAGGCAAGTGAAATAAAAAAATACTGAATATTATTTTAAAACATACTATGGTGAAACAACCAATGTCGTCAAAATGTTCAGCAATCACTGAAACATTCATCATCAACCCATGTTCGTCCACTGCTGGACATAGGTCTCCCCTAATGCACGCCACTGCTCCCGATTTTGTGCTACTCTCATCCAGCCCACTCCAGCCAGCCTACGAATATCATCATCCCATCTTGTCTCAGGGCGTCCTACACTACGTTTACCGAGTCGTGGTCTCCACTCAAGAACTGTCCGGCTCCAACGGCCATCAGTTCTGCGGCTAATGTGACCAGCCCACTGCCACTCCAGTTTGCTAATTCGGTGGGCTATGTCGGTGACTTTGGTTCTCTGTCGGATTACATCATTTCTGATGCGGTCCTTCAGGGATACTCCGAGCTTTCCATAGCTCTCTGAGCGACTTTAAACTGAAACATTACATCATTTTAGGTGGCAAAAATTTAACAAAAATACCATTTTAAATCTAAAGAAAATTTTCCTATAAAAAATCTACTCAGTCCAGGTGTCACGGCAATTTGACACGGTGTCACGGTGTGATCAATTCAGGTGTTGGTAGCATAATTTGGTTAAAGCGTCTGCCCGGTTAGCAATAGATTCGGGTTTGAATCCCGTCTGAAACCTGGACTTGTTTTTAGTAGCATTTCCTTAAAATTAAAAAAAAAATCAAAATTCAATATCGTTTATTCAGTCTAGGCTATTACAAGCACTTGTGAATGTCTAGAAGCTACGCCATCGGTTCGCAAATCTACGGCGGGAGACCTTGTACTGAGAAGAACCGGCAAGAAACTCAGCAAGGGCTGTTTTTGTTCTCCCTGTATTATATACAGAGTCGTCAAATTGAAAAATGACTTCAATATGAGGTAACTCATAAAGTCACTTTCTATTACAAATGCACCCATTTATATCATGTTCCATTACAAATTAGATTTAAACATCTTGAACTCAAATTCAGAAATCATTTATTCCGTCTAGGCTGTTACAAGGACTTTTAAAGGTCGAGAAGCTACGCCATCGGTTCGCAAAACAAGATTAACATGCAGTTGCCTAAATGCTTAAAATTAAAATAACCTACGTTAATTCTTCGTATTTTTGAAGACAGTATGCTTCTTAAGAAAAGTTTACTAGAAAAGAAAATGCGAAGAGATGGCGCTGCCTTGCAGCTTAAGGCTAGGAAAATTTCGACGCGGCCAATAGGGCCGTGGTAGCATAATGGTCAGTGCATTCGCCCGGATTGCGAAGGGTGCGGGTTCGAGTCCCGTCCGCTGCCTGGTCCGCGTGAATTTTTTTCTGGTAAACTTTTCTTTAGATTTAAACATCTAGCAGTTAAATGCTTAAAAATAAATAAAAACATAGACAGTGTGCTTCGTTTTATTTAATATACTTTTAAACTTACCAGATTAATTTGTTTATTTAACGTGTGCGATAACCTTATTAAAGTGCCCGTATTGAACACTAAAATTTGATGTAATATGTTAGTTGATAAGTCTAAAATCAATGAGCCAGCTTCGAATTAATTCACTTTGTTAAAATTTAATCTAATCACTATGTTGATCAGTGGATTGTGGATGTTCTCTAAACATTTGCCTCGTAAGTTAAAACAAATATTCGTATTTAACACAGACCTAGATTGTAGTAGACGCCGCACGTACTTCAAATTGTGTGGAAACCGAGAGAGTATCCACTAGAAAAAATAAATCGTAAAAAAATATGGGCCCCTGTCAGCTATTTCATTTGTACCGTTTTTGCAGCTTAAGAGCGAACACTAGCTGAAAGAGAAGTTGAGAAATAAGTACTTAAAAAAACTATTCATCATCATCAGCCTAATAATGTCCCCACTGCTGGAGCACAGGTCTTCTCTATGGATGGAATAGCGAGATTGGGCCATGACCCACCACGCGAGCCCAGTGCGGATTGGTGGGTGCTAACGACTGCAGATGCAGCTGGGACCAACGGCTTAACGTGCTTTCCGAAGCACGGAGGAAACTATTGCTGTTGTGCATTTCAAATATCGTGCGATAGGGACAACAGTAGCTAACGCTGAAAATTGAGTATAAAAATTGCAAAATTCTAGGTTTGGCTCTCGACGTTTTTCTTCTTTCAAATTAGATATATAATAATAATAAATCTTTATTTCTTCTTAACAATTTTTGTAAAAAAAAATTCAGTGATCGGGGTCCCCTGTTAAGCTAAAAAGTCTGTGTCACGGGACACCACTCTTCCATAAGTAATTTATTTTTATTTTCTCACTAAACAGTATTTAAGAATGTTCATGTAGCCGGTGTATGTGTGTGTGCGTGCATGTGTATGTGTGCGCGCGTGCGTGTGATTGCGTGTGTGCGCGCGTATATAGATGTGCGTGCGTGTGTATATGTGTGGGCGTGCATGTGCATGTGTGTTAGGATGTGAGACTCATTTTAACTCTTTTTCACTCTTTAGTTATTTAACCTTCTCAAGTAACATATATCTAAAAGAAATTTTACCCGTAGAATAATAAGTTATTATGTAAGGCCTCTTACGATTTCCTTTTTCTGTAAATGAATGAATACAATGAGTAAATTTACATTTTATGTGTGAAAACCATTTCTTTAGTGATAGAAATCAAGGAGAGTTTGTAGGGAAAAAACATTGCCCGCTCCCCTCTTAATATGACATACTGAGATACTTTTTAAACAGTAGGTACGATTGACGTCCGGTATGGAGAACGGTGATACTTTTTTTATTTTTATTTTATTAAGAAAACCAACAGGGTATAACCATCAACAAATACCAGATAGTGTTTTACAGGTAAGTATGGTCAATTACAGGTTTCCCTTAATTTAAAAATAATAAGTGTACATCGGAGATGATTAATTATATGACAACGAATGAATTAAGTAACAGCCATGAGAAAATAAAAATACAATATTATACAAACAATGAACAAACAAGCAACTCCAAGGAGTTTTTAAATGTAGAAAGACATTTTTAATACAAATACACAGTCACATACGATACACATTCATATAATTTATACATAGACACAGATACACGCACACTTTCACTCCAAAAAAACTATACCTTCACATTTCTACACTAACGCACTCACTGATTGATCAAATACGAAGAAATAAATTAGCGAAAAAGATGAAAGACCATTGGTCTGCCTTCTGGCACGCATTATGTATTCTGATATAATATGTCTGTGGTATTAAAAAATTGTTTCCATTTCAGATAATCTTCAACGTGACTCGCAAACATCATCTGGCAGTAGTCAAATGTGAGGTCACCAACAAAATCGGCAAACGGGACAAGACTGTTAAATTGGATGTCACGTGTAAGTTGCACTCATTTTATTAACCGTCCCGCCCGTGACATTCACCGAAATAAAAACTATCCTCCAAAAAATCTCTCTCTCTCTATCCTTACAACCCCTCGACCTCACCTCGCACACACCGCGGAACGTTGAACTAACGTGACATGACGTGACTCGTGACATGACGTCATACTTTTTCGTGTGTGCAGCTGGTGTTCATTGATTTCTAAGATTTATTGATTTAAAATTATTGTGTACTTGAAAAGACACCTTAAATTAATTAGCGCCCAAGGATGACCATCAAATCGCGGTTCAATAAAGCGACTTATCGATATAGACTGTCAAACTATAATAGAGTTATAGACAGTCGAGTGTCGATAAAAAGCTTTATCATATCACTAGCAGCCGCCCGGGACTAAAGTTTTTTAAACTCCCTCAGGAAGCGAACACTTTTCCGAGATGTAAAGTATCCTATGTCTCTTTCCACCTAAAAAGCTGTCTGTTTGTAAAATTTCATCCAAATCCGTTTGCGGGAGTGAGTCAAAAAAATACTAACTTTCATATTTATAATATTAGTAGGTTATCGTAGTGCTCAACTGCTCATGCTTATGGCACTGGTAAAGTGGAGTGCTCAGGCCTTCTTCAAGAATCTGTCAAACAAAAGTAAATTACAAAGCCGAAAGCCCTTTCATTTGTCCCCGATTTCCTTATTACCTCTGTTGTCCGTATTCTCCTAATACATCCTTACAAAATACACGATGGAGCCAATTTTCAATTCGCATTACATCCAGGAATTAATCATCGTGCACACAAAACATATTGAATACGACCAACCTTTGTGTACAGGACCTCTCCCGTGTATTCCTGTACAGCCTATTGAATAGCTAATACTTCTGGATAACACAACGCTTTGGAATTAACCGATTCTCGGGAGATCCCGTAGGTTTGCATTGATCAGTTACGCTGCTCTGTTGATTTAGAATGAAAATCAATCGTGATAGAAGCGAAATAAGAGTTCTAATGTTACAAAGTGATGTGTTAAATATTTTTGAACGAGCTTTCAATACCGATGGCGTTCTATAAAACACTCTCATAGCTAAAATTATGTTTTATTAATCAAAATCTGAAGAATGAAAACTTATAAATAATACAATAATTTGTGTTAGAAGTGAAATATCTTTGACAAAATCAAACTATTTACATTCTAAAAGTGGCAGTTGCTTGGCTAGTATTGTAGGCTTTCAAATGACCATCTGTAATTTTGTAAATAATTCTACAAGCCATGAACTAAAACCCACTCCTGTTCGAGAGTACGGTTTAAAATCACCGTTTCCTAAGATCTAGTTCCGAACGTGGCCTATATTTGAAAATGTAATCAAAAACTTCCAGCTTATTCTATGTCGAAAACTGGAATTAGATTCCCAGAACGGAAAAGTTAGGTCTTCTAAGCATATTATTTGGGCCCAACTCGTGGAGTGAATTGGAGGCCAGTTGTATAAATCCTTCGCCGATTCATTTGTAACTCGTTCTGAAGTTTGCGGCCGCCGGAATATTAAATAAGTGTTGTTGAAAGGGATTTGTTGAAATAGATTAATTGGTCTTTCGAAATAAATTATTTTCAAAGATACTTTTTTTCTTCTTCCTTTGTGTGTGGAAGGTCATCGCAGTTTTGGATAAATTGAGAAGATTATAGCTAAAGTTTTATTTAATGTGAAGTGGCCTCTGCCACTGAAGCTCTCCCCAAAACTGAGAAACTTGAGAAAAAATCTAAAAAGACCCTTTTCTTTATTATTATTATTTAAAATATTGTGCAGTCCTAAATTGAATTGCAGTTACAACGATTACCATCCAATTAAAGTATCCCTTTAAGTCCGATAATTTCTAAGAAGCTTAAAATATTTCTGGCTTTAAGAGATTCAATTTCTTCTGGGCGTATTATGTCGCCTCTGCTGAATACTTCTAGGAAATTCTGCGTTTAGGTGTTTCACGCTTATGTTAGTAGTAGGTTGAGAGTGATTCTGTAAAAAATAATCTCACTTTCGAGCCCGAAAGTTCCAAATTTAGATATAAGTTAAATATGCATTACGTCATTACATAACAAAATGACGTCATGACTCATAAAGTTATTTTGTTTAACTTCATGTCATGACTGTAGTGTTGGGTAGGACACGACTTGAAAAAGAGTTTGTAAGAGTAGCCTCTTTTTTGTACTGAACCAGTACAATGTCCCACTTCAAATGAGGCGAGGCGTACTGAAGCTCGGCAATACATTTGAAGTGACGAGTACAAATATGACATTGAGGCGTACAGAAGCTCGACATTACGTTTGTGTGCACGAGTAGCACCTCCTCTACGCACTATCAATCTTGCTGGATCCAGCATGCAGGACAGCGCTATACACGTAAAACAGATAGAGATACAGATGGATAGTGCGTAGAGGACTTAAATGAAATGTTATGCCTTGCTCTCTCTCTCAGAGTTACGAAGAGTGAGTGAGTAACGAGACGCGACTATCGCGACATTTAATGTGAAGTAGTACATTTTAAAATTTTGAGCCGCTCTTACAATTTGGCGTCATGTCCGGGACAAATGTACCGCCTCTTGTAAGTCCTACTCAACACTACATGACTGTTGAACTATGCTGTTGCAGTAAGCAGCTGATCATAGATATTTGACACAGGAAGTGAGTCATTTAATTTTACGGTCTTGTCTTACCCAAACAGATCCCCCATCGTTCCTGAATAAACCGCAGAATGTAGAAGCGGAGGCAGGGAAAAGTGCGATCCTCAATTGTGATGTGGATGGCCAGCCGCCTCCGAAGATCAGGTGGCTGTTCTCCGAGCCAGGACGCATCGAGGTAAGTGGCTACCATGACATAATTACAATGGAAGGAAGTGCTTTGAAATTCTCTAGTCTTAAGAACAATCACTGGAAAATATCCACGTGGTCCAGGCAGCAGGGGGAACTCGAAACCACATCCTCCGCTGTCCGGGCGGCTGCACTGACAAATTATGCTACCTCGACCTTAAAGACCGTGTTGAATTTCTTTAAGTATTTCTTAGGCTGTAAAGCAACGCCATCTCTTCGAACTATAGGTAATCTACAGTGTCAAACGAAGTATTCGTTTACAAGTATTAAACAATTGAAAGAAGAAATAGCAATAATTGTATTGAATCCTCTAGTCTTGTTACAATAGAAGGAAAGATCTTGAAATGATGTTCTCACTTCGACCTATTTTACCTGCAGCCTTATCTTCAGAAGATGATAACAAGTCTTTTTTTTTATTAAATTTATGATTCAGTATCATTATTTCGTATTTGGAGAAAATTAATTATCAAACTTATTCTAGTTAATATCTACTCTTTTAGTTGGATTAGGTCAGTCATGCGATTGTCATGCAATGCTGACTTTTGAATTAACTAAAGTATTACCTACTAAATGAAAATAATCTAATACAATGAATTCCCCGATTGGATCAAGAACACTGACGACATTGGTTTAATGTTTACAGCAGAAGACTACCGTGTACCACATTCATAGTTTTAAAGGTGGTATTATGGCAATTTAAGAAAAAAGACTTGCTTCTAAACCCTTCCAAGTGGACATTAACCACCTTATTACATAACGTAGACTAAAGTTAAACCTCGACTAAAATCTGATGCTGCCACTTTTGTTTACAAAAAATACGACAAAGACAACATTAGGTTTAAACTAAGACTATCTTTGGTCCGCGTTTTGGAATCAGGAGGTAATTGTCTTGCTGGATAGCAGGCAAATCATCAAATTTTCCAACTCACATTGAACTTTATGTTGCTCAATATAAGAATCACTGACTACAGAGAGAATTTGAGGGGTTTGTTTTTTGGGTTCCAGGCATGATATTAGAACTCAGCGTCTGCATTTATTAGTTTTACGTGAACGTTCAATACTTCCAGCAGGTTAGGGCGAAGACTTCGACCCATACGGTGTACGTCACAAATAGTACCGCCGGTCGGTACATATGCAAGGCTTCTGTGGAGGGATTCCCAGAAATCGAGGCAGAAGCTATGGTATTTATTAAAGGTGAGATCACGTCTTTTCTTTACAAATACAAAACGCTTTATTTCCATATCTGATTACCCTACAGCTTCTCTATTCATTTTATGTGCAACAATTTCTTAGTATGTTTAAAATATAAGAATAGCCTACCCATCGTCCTGGTTTAGAGTAGTTAGTTTATAAATTCAATTAATATTAGCCAATTCAATTGTATGTCCGTACTGTCTTTGCCAGATATTAATTTGAATATGTCGCAGTAATACTTCTATAGTTTCAAAGATTATATTAATCAAAGACACCAGCCTATTTTTCATTTTGATAAGATACCTACTGCCCCTTTTCTCTGTAATTAGCAATAGAATACGAGAACAAATCGCTTTAACAATGATTAAATTTTAAGTTTTGGCTGACGTCTTTGAGTATATCTATTGTAGCAAGGAGCTAATATACTTGTTGAAGTTATTCATTGGTTTTCAATCTTGTCATCAAGGACATTAATTCCGGTTCTTAAAACGTTGAATATTGAAATTTATTTCGCTAATGAGAATGCAAGTATACGACCCGAAGGCTTGAATTCAGTTTAGCATGAAATGGAATTATGGTAAAATAAAGATTATCTGACTTATTATTAAACGAGACTAAAGTTAAACCTGGTTTATAAGTTATGCTGTCACCTTTGTTTCCTAAGAAGTGGACAGAGTCGGCATTAGGTTTAAATAAAGCGGTATAGATATATTGTTTTAAACTTTCATTTTCACTAACATAAAATTTATGTTATTTTTAGCGAGTTTCCAACTATTAGGATTGTTACCATGTACTTTGTTATATAGTGGAGGAGCTCGATGTCGCAGGTGGTTAGCGCATTCGACTACGATGGTTGAAGTTAAGCAACTTTCGCAGTGGTCGGTTATTGGATGGGTGACCAAAAACATATATCTCGAGGTCCTCCGTGCTTCGGAAGGCATGTTAAGCTGTTGGTCCCGGCTGCAACTGCAGTCGTTAGCACCCGCCAATCCACACTGGGCCCGCGTGATAGATCATGGCACAATCTCCCTAGTCCATCCAAAGGGAAGGCCTGTGCCCCAGCAGTGGGGTCATTACTAGGCTGATGCTGATGATGATGATGACTTTGTTACAAACGAGTTTCCGATATCGCTCAAAACAAAATTCATAGTAACAATCCCGATAATCGAAAACTCGCTAAAAACAAAGTACATGGTAACAATCTCGATAATCGGAAACTCGTTTAAAATAAGGTAACAATCCCGTAAATAACATTAGTTACTATAAGGTGGTTTAGGTTGTTAAAACAAGGTATTTATTCACAGGTGCACCAAAGATACTTTCTAATAGAACCCAATTCGGATCGGAGGGTGAGAACGCCAGAGTGGAATGCTTAGCGCTCTCCGTACCGAAACCCGATGACATAAGATGGTATTTCGAGGGTCGAGAGATAAGTGCCGTTCACGATCCGGTAAGTTTCATATTAATTTGGGAGTTTTGAGTGTTTCTTTGTCTAAACATTCGTATATTTTGGTTGACTTGAGAAATGCAATCAACAAATTTGTCATGCTCTTTATAGAAGCTCTTTTTATAAAATTTTGTTATAATTATAGAGAGTTATGATTAAATCAGATCCAATATTTCACTTTAAATTATTACTAAAGTTATTCGGAACAGTAGTTGATAATGCTGACCCGAAATTATTTCTTGTAAAATAAATTGAATCTCAATTAAGTTTATTACGCAAAATATGCCACTCTAACATCGAAAAGTTCTGTTTTGTATATATACTTATTAATCACTTTATAGTTTTTTAGTAACTTGATTTATTTTCATATCTACATTTTTAACTTTAAAATTAGCATTTGATTTAAGTTTATTCTTTCTAAATTTAATGTTAATACTGTTTCGACATAACGCAGTAACATTGTCATCTTCACCACAATGTGATTATAAACTGAAGAATTTGAATTTACAATAGCGTTTAGTTCAAATATCTGAATACAGATTATTTTACAGGATTATGCGACTCTTGAAGAGAGCCTTCCTGATGGTACCATCAGTTCTACATTAGTGATCAGGGCGAGCCAATCTAAACATTACGGCACTTACAGTTGTAGCGTCACCAATGAATATGGGAATGATAATGCTGCTATCGCCTTGAAACCTTTGAGTAAGTCTTACGTTGAAATAAATTTTATCTCTGCTAGTTCTTGCTTTTATTTCTTTAGGCAATTTTTTTTCATTAATAAATCCAATGAAGTAAAGTTCCCTTCTTAGTTCCTTCCTGTATTTTAACTTAAGCTGTTTTTAAAAAAATAATTAATTGATTTGAATGTTACCACCTGAATTACTAATTTTGACACATATGACGAGAGATTGTCCATGTTTTTGGTATAAAAAGACATGATTTGAATAGTTATTATCTAGAAGTTAAAAAAACTTGTAAATACAATTATAAATTTACGGCCCTCGCAAATAATTCTTCTATATTAGTGTTTACAGTTTAGTTTTATAGTCCTTTCTTCGAATTTAACTTTGAAAATATTTTCAAGAGCATCGTCACATTATTAGAAAATTAACGAATTTTATTGATAGACTTTTGTTTTTAAATTTATCACCTTCAGAAAAAGATAGTTAAGGTAAACACAATCAAAATGATAAACAGTTACATTGTCTTATACATATTTCTTATATTTCCACCACTCACCCTTCCGTTCTTTCTGTTAAATCTAATTCAATAATTACTACTCTTTCTTACCCTTTTCTTCTTCCACAGGGACCCTCCCCCTTTTCATAATACTAGTCGGCGTGACCTCAGGCATCATCATATTCTCCGCCTTCATCATCCTAGTGGTGTTATGCTACAGAAGAAGAAGGAAGAAGAATAGGAAGATCAACGAGAAACCCGATGTGACTGTGACTACGGGAGACATGTATAAAGAGAGCGATAGAAGTTCGAATATAAGCGATCTGAAGCCGCAATTGCATCAAAGTGATGGGAGTTACGAATTGGTATGAATACCTATTAGCTAATTTTCAATTTCATTTCTGAGAATTTTTACAAAGATCATACACATACAGACTCGTATAAGTATACTTAATTACCTATATAGGTAACTAATTTACATAAAATTGAATTTAATGAAAGTAAAAAAATAACAATGACAGTTTAGCAAGAACTCCAAACAATACTAAAGAAGTGAAAGCAATACTAAATTCGGTGATAGTACCCGTAAAACAGGTCTAACCCTAGTTCAGGCAGCAATCTTCGCTTTGTTTATTGTTTTTTATTTTTATAATTTTTACATTTGCATAACTAACTCCCTCTAAAATTCTAAACATAATAATGGGGAAATGTTAAAATGATCCCCAAAAAATACAACCTAAACCACAATTCGTAACCTAAAGGTTAGATTATGTTATCAATTGAATATTTTTGATGATGAACTACTATTATTTATTATGGTTATGAATATGCATCGATTTCGTTCTGGACATATTCCACTAAATAAATTCTTATTCCTTCTAAAAAAAAATCAATTCCCCCAATTGTGAAACATGTGAAAAAGCGAAGGATGTGCAAGACATATTAATGGAATGCGTCAAAAATGAAGCGGAAAGGAGGCATGCATTCTCCATCGTTAAAATTAATAGGTTTGAGACTGGCATATTGCAGGGCTTCCTAGCCAACCCCCTATCGGAAGAGGCTGGTATGCTTTGCAATATGATAAAAAAATATATGTAATAACTAGCGACCCGCCCTCGCTTCGTTTCGGGGTAGAGCTGAAGTGTAGACTACATTTTTTGTTCTCAAGCTTGTATTATACCTGCATGCAAAGTCTCAGCCCGATCGGTTTAAAATTGACAAAGTTTCATACAAACTTTCATTCCCTATTTTATCCCCTTGGGGGTAGAATTGATCAAAATCCTTTCTTAGCTTAGCCTACGTCATAAGATCTACCTGCATGCCAAATTTCAGCCCAATCCGTCCAGTGGTTTGGGCTGTGCGTTGATAGATCACTATGTCAGTCAGTCAACTTTGAGTTTTATATATATAGATTAAGTAATTTTAAGAAAATCGATGGTCAGTGTACGGCGGGGCTGGTATGGACAATTAGGTCCGAAAGTCCCTTAAAACAAAACAATTATTTTATAATCATTTTAATATGTGCCATATTATTGCATACGCTCTGCTCGCGAGCAAAACGGTTATCAGTAATACGTATTTGTCATGTGATAGTTCCATTAAATAATCGGCTTGTCACAGAAGAGTGAGCATTTTAGATAAACCATATATATATCGTGTCACGTATAACATTATGCATGCATATTCACATCGTAATGTATTCGTTTTGTATCACAATCGGATCTTTTCGATTCATTGGAACCGATTTATCTGTCGTTTTAGCATACGAATGGAGACAGCGTGTGTTATTGAGGAACGTTGCATCGATATTGTGGTAGTTCTGGATTTTATGATTGACGGATTGGTGTAGTTTTTTTTTGAAGTGAAAACTTCTTTAGCGGCGTTGTACACTTTTTTGTATGAGTAAAAAATGTTAAGCTCGCGTCAGGTTAAACACGTGGGCTGATCGCATCATGACACACAATAAAATTGGAAAGGTTGTCGACTTTCAATATATTGGACGAAACATAGTAATATTTTATTTTATCGTATTATAATGATAGGTCTCTATCTAGGACGTCCACGTGGCAGCTTTATTGCAAAGAAAATGCATTTTTTTTACAATAGATGTCGCTAGGTGCATTTAAACGTGATTCATGTAAGTTGATTTTTCTGAGAGATAAACTTTTTTAATGTAATATAAATTGTCATGCTTGTGTACGATAGCGCAATAAATAAATATTGTATTCTACCACATACATGATAGTACTTTTATACTGATAATTAAAGCAATTCGTGCAAAATAATTCCCAACCCATTCAAAAATATCAAAAATGCACAACGTTAATATTCAAGTTTTCACTTCTGCCGGCACTCCCGGAGTGCAACCCGTCGTTTTTTTTGCCTTGTTACCAGAGCTCTGTTATATTTAAATTTATGTCAAAGATGCAGATTCTTTATCATATCCTACCTATACCCCTATACCTATCACCACAAACACATCCAGACGAATTGCCACTGGTGGGGTAGGCAAAAAGATCGCCTATTCTTCTATACTCTTCATACACAGATCTTGTTCTTTATTTGCCTTCATAACTTAATAGATTTAGACTTTGAAAAAACCAGCTATTTTCACCCTAAAGGAGCTTGAAACAATTTCATACAAACTTGGGCCGAAAATGTAACAAGATGAAAATGGTGTCTTTCAAAAGATGATTTTCTCTCGAGACCTTTTCTGCAAATTGTGTAACTTTTATCAATCTTGAAGCAAAGTTATAGAGTTTTAGTCAATGTGAGGAAATATAACCTACACTGGCATCTGACATATGGATCTGGGGGCTAATCCCCTAACTGGATTGCTATGGCTATCACTATCGCTTACGTTTTAATTTTTTATTTCCGACCGCCAAAAGTTTTCAAATGCCCTGCGCAATTTTTTTTCTTTTGTATTTGTGATAAAATATCAAAGAAAATGATCGTTAGGTATTTGAAAGCCTTGGGCAGTCAGAAATGACAAAATTCTGACTGCCCAAGTTTTACGTTAGGCGCTTGACTTCCTTGGGTCAAAACCCCTAAGTTGGTAACAACAGCTTACCACCCCTTCTTCTTCACCCAGGATTACACTAGCTCCGACCGGTCCGACATTAAAGCGCCGTCCGGTCTACCTCTCGCCGGTCCGGTGTCATTACCCGGAATGAGGCATGATGACACTCTGTTACAGTTCCGGTATAGCAACGATTACTCAGATCCAACGTATGGAGACCCCTATTTTAAGGTTAGTATGGTATATCTCTTATCGTTTAGACAAGTCCGTCCGTCTGTCTGTCTGTGGTGCTGTTTCAGCGGCCAAACCGTAAGAGATAGATAAAGAGAATATTTAAGTTATAAGTTAAGAATAGTCTGATAAGACTACAAACCGGATTTGAGTAACGTAGCACTTCCGGTTTTCGAGAAATCACGAATTTCAAACGAAACCACACAAAATCTCCGAAGTTCTCAATTAATTAAATACATTTTTTTTTTTAAATCAGGTTTTGGTGAACATTTGGTTCACTGGTTTGCTAGTAACTAACTAATAGTTGAGACTCTAAAAGGTTCTTGGTTCATTTGTGGGTCAAGGTATATGTTACTATAATAAACTACCAAAAGAAATAATTAATTTACCTTTTAGTAAGTTTAAAGTGTGTATAAAAACATGTCTCCTTAAGAAAGGTTACTATATTGTTAAAGATTTCATAAATGATAAGTCACCTTGGGCTTAATATAATAGACTAAGTCGTTTTACTTTGCTGATTTGGTTGAAAATTGATTAATCGCCACTTCTAAATTTAAAAGTAGTACCTAGCTATACTTTACTTTTGTAAATTAATAATATTAATGTGATGGAAGTTGACATCAACACAATGTTTTAAATGTTTGAAGCCCGTAAATAACATACATTACATATAGTCACCATGGAAGTTTAAAACGAAATTACTTTTTATCTCAGTAATATGTTATGTTCCTGTCACATTGCTAAAAAAACTAAAGTTAATGCGGACGAAGTCACGGGCGGACGCAAGCATAAATTACTATTGTCTACCTACCATTCGATTCAAAATTTTCATTATTATAAATAAATATAAAATTCAATATCGTTTATTCAGGCAGTTACAAGCACTTGTGAATGTCGAAAAGCTACGCCATCGATTCGCAAATCTACGGCGGGAGACCTTGTACAGAGAAGAACCGGCAAGAAACTCAGCAAGGGCTGTTTTTTTCTCCCTGTATTATATACAGAGTCGTCAAATTGAAAAATGACTTCAATATGAGATAACTCATGAAGTCACTTTCAATTCAAAATGTAAATATAATTAAGTCCTTTCGTCAGTTAGTGTTAAATCAAAAAAAATGAAAACTACTTTATAAATATCAGAATATCAGCGCCGCAGCGGCCCTGGCGCACGGTGGAATATGGTAGAACAAACGCATATCAAAATTGATTTTTATTACTGATTGAAAGTGGGTAATATATGAATATAATTTAATAGTTCAAAAGTCGAAGTTTAATATTCTGCAGCGTAATTCATATTTTATTTCGTAAAAGTATTTTTTTTCATGTAGCAAAGTTAAACGTTTAGGCAGCTGGGAAATATTAAGTTCTTCATTTACGTTTTTCAACGTGAAATAGTTTTAAAACTTGAAATGAAAGGTAAAAGGTATTATATATTTTTGAAAAGCACGTTTATCAGAGGTTAGAAATAAATACAATTGATTGTTTTTAATACGATTATAAATTTAAAAACCAATTTAAAGAAAAAATGGAGAAATATTTTTTTTTCCTCAACTTCGTCGAATCTTTTAACATTTAGAGTTGTTTACCGATGCTTTGAATTTAATGTTAAATTATAGGTCGCTGTGGCACTGTGCTGAGGCAGGGACCTAGTTGGCCTTTTTTCTGTTATTGTATTTGTTTTGTATAATCTATTTTTTTTTAAGGCTAATATAATACTTTCTTTCTTTCTTACAACCACAAGTTTTTATTATAAGAAAACTTCTTTGGCGGTAACGTTGGACAAAGAACTAATCCATTAAATTATTATCAGGATTAGCCCCTGAAAGTTCTCAACTAGATTTTAGTAACGAGTTCTAGGAATTTCGCTGGCGTTATGAAAACTGCAAGTTTTCGTAAAAAGCAAGGACGTATAATATATTAAACCTGACAGAAAGTTTGTTTTAAATCAGAATTTAGTTTAAAAACTAAAACAAAGGCCAAATGAAGAAATTCTTTATTACTAGAAATTAGCGTGCTTAAATAATACCATCCGTAGTCTGGGCGGTAGACGTGGGTTCGAATCCCGTTTGAAGCCTGGATTGTCTGGTTTTTTTTTAAAAAAATCTTTAGATGTTTGTTTGTGTTAATTTTTAGATACATGTGTGTGTTTGTTTTAGAATCAAGCGGGATATGTTTACGACTATCCCCAGGGATATGTGCCTCCACCAAATTTAAGAGTTCAGTCTCCTGCGCAATTGGATGTGCCACAGAATAGGTGAGTTAAGATAACATACCACTGAGTGTAGTTTCGACATTTTCTTTAATTCTTTTTCCAATACTTAATTTTTCTTAAAATTGTGCAAACCCTAACAAGGTTAACTTTTATCATCATCATCATCATCAGCCTATTAATGTCCCCACTGCTGAGGCACAGGCCTTACCTATGAATGGAATAGGGAGATTAGACCATGCCCCACCACGCGGGCCCAGTGCGGATTGGTGGGTGCTAACGACTGCAGATGCAACCGGGACCAACGGCTTAACGTGCCTTCCGAAGCACGGAGGAACTCGAGATAGAAGATTTTTGGTTACCCATCCAATGACCGACCACTGCCAAAGTAGCTTAACTTCAACGATCGCAGCCGAACTCGCTAACCACCCGCGCCATCGAGCTCTTCAAAGGTTAACTTTAAAGTTTTTAAAACACTTAAATCCAATTGCACCAGCTTTTTCAAATCAAATGATGACTTAATTCTATTTAACATTACACTAGTATTATAAAGGCGAAAGTTTGTGAGTGTGTATGTTTGTTACTTCTTCACGTCTAAACGGCTGGAGCGATTTTAGTGAAATTTGGTATGGAGTTAGCTGACACCCTGGATTAACATATAGGCTACGTTTTACTGCGGGAAAATATCCCTAATAAACCGCGGGTAACACCGCGGGGCGCGGCTAATAATATATCATTGCATCTTTGTCAATAGGGGTGATGACGGGGTTCAGTAAACGAAATTCTATTTAGTCCGTCAGTTAGATGATCAAAAAATAATGGACACGTATTTTTTCTTTGGGCAATCAACCAAAAAAAAATGGGTGCGTGTACTTATGTAGGCGCGTGAGAAGTTATCCTTCTTTGGCATCGTTTAAAATTAGTTTTTAATTGCATGCAAATGATTAATTACAATCAATTAATAAAAAGTCTGGAAAAGGACACAGTCAATAAAGTTCAGTTTTAATTTGAAAAAATAAATAAATAATCAAAATATTCAATTAAAATCGCTACTGAATATAATTTATTAAAACATATGTGATTTGCACTTGTATGAAACTCAAACAAGTATTCCGAATATACAAACTAGAAACATGTGGATAAATATTATAAATATGAATACCTATAACTGTTACTTTATTACAAAAAATAAAGATGTGGTTTTTGGTTCTACTACACCAATGGTCAAGAGATGGCGCTGTAGTCTCCTGAATCGCGCTTTGGTTCCATTGTTCCAGATTAATAAATACTTTTGATAGACCTTCACAATGCAGTCGTTAGCACCCACTAAATAGAGATTCTATTTCTATTTTGTTGGTAGATTTTCTTAATGTGCGGTAAACACAAAAGTACATGCTGTTAAAATTTTGTGTTACAGTGATGCGCGCGCATCTTAAAATTTCACTCTCATCATTTTTTCATAACGCGCCTAAAGAAGTATAACTTCAAAAATTACAAAGTTATAGCGCATCAAAGTTTGGGAATAGGGGCTCGTGACGTCACTTTTAAGTGAAAATTGTACCAAAACGTGATGTCATGCGACTTTTCAAATCAATAAATATCTCTGCAATGTTTATGTTATGTGAAAAAAGAAAAAATACGTGTCCAATACTTTTTGACAATCTACCTGATAAACGAAGAAAAAAAAATTTTCATCATCCCCATTATAATGTGTAAAAGGGGTAGAACGAGAATTTACATAAGCTTTTAAAGAAAGGACATGGTAAAGTTTTGTATGGGTAACTGCTCTGACAATGTATTAATACTGTACTTAATAATATTTAATGGTAAATGGCTGAATATTCATAATTTCTATCAAAAAAAAAGACTCGGGAACTTTTAATAAAGTCACAATCTTGAAAATTATGAGAACTCCTACTATGTCATTACCTTACTATAGTTGATAAAAGATGTTGCTAATTATTTACAGAGTTATTAATTTCGCATTTTCTTAGAATCTTTCTTCCCATTTTTCTGATTAACTCTTCACAAAAAGTTTTTGTATAGCAAAAATAAATACAAATAATTTGTTATCGTCTGCCTGACAAAAAATCTGTAAAATTTAATTTGGCCATTTGCAAAAATTAAAGGATTAATTTACATACAGCCTTGTCTCAAGCCTGCTCAGAATAATAAAATCCATTATTTTAGGCCTTCAGTGATTTATTATAATTAAAATTAGGGCCAAATATGTCATAGTTTCAAGCAGTTTAGAAATAATTTTGTTTATTTCGATATACTTACAAAAATATTTTTTGTGTACATTAATTCATTTGTTTAGTAAAACGGAACATTTTGCTTTTTAAACAAACATGAAGTCAATTGTTATACTTTTAAATATTTGATTATTTCACGAAAGTTGTATGAGAATAATAAACATGTAAAAATTAATAAAAAAATATTGTAAAGTTACGGGCTAGTGCGAAATATTTATACACGTTAAGGGCAGTTTCTTAGCCATGCCCTTTGTCACTAGAATTTTGTGTGCGAGTTAAATTCGGAATTTATGTATTTTTAATGATATTTCGAATGTTTTTTTTTCTCATTATGTTCTCTTCTATATAAACTTAAAGTTTATTTATTTATTTTACAACTATGTTTAGATTATTCCACTTTAATCTCCCTAAACAGGTCTCTGCAAGGTTCACTGACGCGTAGTATAGATACAGCGTCAACTCTACCCTTGTCAGCGAGCAATGGATCTCAAAATAACTCATTGCAACGAACGAAATCACCCGAGGAAACGGACGCCATCAATAGTTTGGGATTACCTGTGGATGGTGATTGTGAGTAACTTATAATTCTGGTATTATGTATTTATTTGTTTTTCATAGACTTAGTTACATTTTAATTTTTAACGGCTAGATGACTATAATTAAAAAAAAAACTACTAGAAAAAAATCCACGCCGGCCAGGCAGCAGACGGGACCCTTTGCTATCCGGAAGGATGCGCTGACCATTATGCTATTGCGGCCCTGATGGCCGTGTCGATTTTTCTCTAGCATTTCTTAAGCTGCAAATGCGTCATCTACAATGCGCTGCCATTTACCTGCTACATATTTCAATCTAAAGAAAATACTACTAGGAAAAATCTATTCGGTCTATGTGACAGACACTATGTAATGAAGGTATGATTATATTTTTATTTTTAAGTATTTAACTGCTAGATGTTTAAATCTAAACAATTATCATATATATATATTCAATTTTAATTAATAGTATAATTAACTAAAAATTACCTACAATGCGAAGAGAAGACGCTGACTTACAACCTAAGAAATACTAGGAGAAATTCGACACATCCATTAAGAAGGCATAACTAGAAGTGCATCCGCCCAGATAGCGGAGGGTGCGGGTTCTAGTCCCATCTGTTGCCTGGTCTGCGTGGAATATTTTCTAGTATAATGGTTTTTAGTATGTAGGTATGTTAATATAAATAGTATAGGTAATACTTAAGACAAAAAGGGTGATACGGTACTCTCATACTAGAATCAAATAAAATATGCTTCGACTCAACTACATAAGCAACTTACACTTCTGTAAATAAATATGCAATCGAGCGAGCGAGACAGCACTGGAGGCCTACTCTAATTTAACGAAAAACGAAATTTCGAACGAAATTTCGCACTTTTCTTACTATTTTTCTGGTTCGTTTTTAATTATAATAATATTCGGCGACGGAATATAGATTGAGGTGTAGATTTTCTAAACCTACTCAAAGAAAACTCCAATTTGATAGTTTATCGTTCGTTCTATTAAGTATAATCTTAAATTGAAGAAATTAAATTTCGTTTGAACTTCGTTATCGAAAGTTCGTTTCGAAGAAAGAGAGTAGACCCCCTGTACGCTTCAACGTAGCACGAGCGAAACGGCGAGTCCGCGTCCGAGTCCGAACGGCTGAGCTGTATTGTTGTCCTTTTCTTGATAACAAAATGCCGATTATGTAAGTGATTTTTGAGGAAAAAAGCTTATTACCGTTTTACGAATGAAAAATGTTTCTGAGGTACTTGTTATTTGATTTTGAACTACATATTTGTGATCTTTATAAAAGCATCGAAAGCATAGTTCTATCTTTATAACACAAAATATACGCATGATTGTTATATTGGATGCACATGCATTGTGTTTGAGTGTCCAATCGTGACTAAAGCGAGTTGTGGTCATGCACCACAATTTAAGCGGATCACTTTTGAGCCGCGTGTGCCGTATCTTCTCTTTTTGTTTTAATCTAAGGTATAATATTATACATTTTTTAAGCAACGTATTTCTTGTTATATAGCGCCCCCGCTTCCGATATACGCGCAACCGCACGTTAAGCCCCACGCCGGAGTGGACCTGCGGTACGCGGCGACGTACGGCAACCCTTACTTGAGGAACAGTTCCTTAGGTAAGTTCCGAGATTGTTTCTAGTTTTCCTCCTTATAAGGGTGCCTACTTCCAGAACACGTCCAGCCACACTCGAAGCCTACATCGCGCTATTAATATTCGGCAGCACACACATATATACAATGACCGATCTTAGAATGGTTGACCGAAGGTTTGCCTATATCTGTCACTCCATGCTTTGGAATGCACTCCCTCCCTCCACGACAACGGCTAATTAGAGTCGAGGTCCGAGTCTCAGAGTAGCTCTCGTCTAGTTGAGCCGACCCCCTGAGGTTCGAGTGGTCTTTAGGCTCCAGAAGGAGATGCCATCCGCCTGGAATACCTCTAGAGGCACTCGCCAATTCTCGGCTTGAGGTCCTCTTAGGATCTCGCCGTCACAAAACCCGGTGAGGCTGTAAAGGTCATCTGCGACCAACAGCATACACTGCTCCGGCTGCGTCTGCAGTCGTTAGCACAGTATTATAGTACCCGCATAGTGGGTCGTGTCCCAATCTCCCTATTCTATTCATAGGGAAGACGGGTGCCCCAGCAGTAGGGACATTAATGGCCTGATAACATAAATATTTTGTTTTCTATAAAGGTTACGGTAACCAGGTGCACACGGCAAAGCCTGCTTCGACGCCGGCGCCGCCGCCATACTCCGCTGTTAGGAGTTCCGTCGTCATGCCAACAGGTAATTTAGTATTAGAATTTATTACCTAATAGCTGTGTTACCAACCCTTACCAAAATTTTCCCCTAAGTTTTTTTTAAATTCCCATAAAATCCCCTAAATATAGAATTTTATATGTACCTACTCATTATCTAAATTCTTTCATTGCTCATAAATTGAAACGTAACATGTTTAGTTACAGTAAATTATTTTATTGAATAATTGACAAAAATAAATGGTGAGACGTGAGTATGACGTGAACGAATGAAAGACCGAAATGTTGTTGATTTATTAATTTATCCATTGGTGATAGGTAAAGAACTTAAGTCTATACAGCCTTAGGAAACAACCCGCCACACAGTCAGTTCATATCGTTACGTTCTACGCACAAAACTAAAAGAAAAGACTCTGTTTTTCGATTTAATTGCAAGTTTGTTTAAAGCTCCTAAAAGAATCCCCAAAAAATTCCAGCCCCTAAAAAAGTCCATTTTAACACTTCTAGCCCCTAAATCTGGGGGGAAAACCCCTAAGTTGGGAACCGTGCCTAATAGGATTTCACCCTCTGTTTAATACTATGGAGTTTGATGGAAACTAGGGAAAAGTTTATTGTTTTATTGTGGGAACAGTTTTTAAAGTGATAACTTCTCATTGGACGGTAAACCGCTTCGTTACGTAACGCGTTACGGCGCTAGTCTGTCTGGCTCGCCTTCGCCGCGAAGGAGATAGACGCCACAGCCCACCCAGGTACCAGAGGGATGTCCCCAGATCTACCCAACTCCCTCACCCATCATTGCCATTATCACCTACCAATACATTATTATCACCCTCGAATCCTCTTTATACCCTCCAATCCCCTTTTCACCCTCGAATCTCCTTTATATCCTCCAATCCTCTTTTCACCCTCGAATCTCATTTATACCCTCCAATCCCCTTTTCACCCTCGAATCCCCTTTATACCCTCCAATTCCCTTTTCACCCTCGAATCCTTTTTGTACCCTCCAATCCCCCTTTCACCCTCCAATCCCCTTTACACCCTCCAATCCCCTTTTCACCCTCGAATCCCCTTTATACCCTCCAATCCCCTTTTCACCCTCGAATCCTCTTTATACCCTCCAATCCCCTTTTCACCCTCGAATCCCCTTTATACCCTCCAATCCCCTTTTTACCCTCGAATCCCCTTTATACCCTCCAATCCCCTTTTCACCCTCGAATCCCCTTTTCACCCTCGAATCCCCTTTATACCCTCCAATCCCCTTTTCACCCTCGAATCTCATTTATACCCACCAATCCACTTTTCAACCTCGAATCTCTAGTACACCCTTCAATGCCCTTTTCACCCTCCAGTTTCCTGTGCTCAGAAAACTATAGTTTAGGTTATCACTTCTTATTATCTTGACTTTGGTCTGACCTAGGGCTGAAAAATAAAGAGAATTGGTATTTCAAGATATTCAACACTTTGTAATATCTATACTAATATTATAAAGAGGAAAGATTTGACTGTTTGTTTGTATTGAATACGCTCCTAAACTACTGGACTGATTTGATAAATTCATTCACATTCAGAATTCAACATTATCCCCAATGAACAAAGGCTATAGAGTATTTTCAAAAAAGTTAGGGTTCTGTATGAATACTTCGATAATGCAACACAATGCGTGAAAAAAATTAACCTTATATCGAGTACGCTAATAATAAAGATAACTATTTAAATAACTTATAACGAAAAAACAGTGCCAATAACAAACCAGTGATTGTTTTCTTTCATTCCAATCGCACTTTCATTTTCAACGTTTCATACTAAGCTTAGGGTTCTGTATGAATACTTCGATAATGCAACACAATGCGTGAAAAAAATAACCTTATATCGAGTACGCTAATAATAAAGATAACTATTTAAATAACTTATAACGAAAAAACAGTGCCAATAACAAACCAGTGATTGTTTTCTTTCATTCCAATCTTACTTTCATTTTCAACGTTTCATACTAAGCTATTGTACAAATCCCAAAAAATCTTTGAAAGGTGCAAGGATGGTAAAATATAAACCACCGTTCAAATTCAAAGGAATAAATGTATTCGAAAAGGAACCTTATTTTCTAAGGCTTATATAATCGAGTAAAAATCTCAACATCGCCATTCAGACATCACACTATGCAAAATGATGGCGCCATCTAGTGACCGTTGACAACAACACTTTCACCTACTAACATGCATTTGGGGTTTATTGGCGTAAACAGCTATACTAAGTTAAAAGTTTTTGTGGCACACCAAATTTCAGCTTCAAAAGTATCTAAAAGAAGTCTTATTGAATCATTCTATCAATCACTATATTTTCTGCGTGCCTGCCTTAGTTTAAAGTGTCATTGCAATGGAAATCCATCTTTCATTGTCTTTTCATAATCTTTTTTCGCACAGTCTCCCATCTGCTAACCTCTATATTTATTCCGCCCGTCGGTCCATCTGTCTGTCTGTCCGTCTCCTCGACAAAGACACTTTAAAATAAACTTTGAAGAAATATCTGGTTAAATTTAGATTTGAAATTCAAATGAGTTTTCTTTGTCTTTGCGAAGGATGAATGACTTGATTGTTTTTTTTTATGATTCTTAACTAGTTTCAAATAGTTTAATTAGAATTTGCAAAGTTTGTAGAGAATAGTTTTTTGAGCTGTCATTATACCTATTATTTCTTGCAAAAGTTTCAAATTCTAAATGAGATTTTCTTAATCTTAAATACGATTTTCTACTCCAAAGACAAAAAAAAAAATACCTAGCAAATAGTTTAAAAAACAAAATAATAAATTACGCTTATATTATACTCACCAAACACTTTGATGAGTCTAAGTAACTTGTATAATTAATGCAAACTGCGAGTTTCATCAATTGATATTTTATCATCCTAGTTATGAAAAGTATAATTTATTCAAAATGTTTTTTTGCATAAGTTACTAATGAATGTAATCGGTTATTATTAATAATATTAGAAATGGGCAAAAGTTCGAAAAAGTTTTTTTAAGAGTGTATTATTAGCTAAGCTTCAAATTTTAAATATCGTAAATAAGAACACATTTTATTTTGATTATTTATACTCTTTTTATTTTTGAAGCTTGAACTGCAAAATGTTTAAATCTAAAGAAAATTTTACT